CTCGGCTTGCCTCGGCCTCAGCCTCAGCCTGCCTCGGCCACAGCCTCAGCCTCAGCCTTCCTCAGCCTCCGCCTCAGCCTGCCTCAGCCTCAGCCTGCCTCAGCCGCAGCTTGCCTCAGCCTCAGCCACAGCCTCAGCCTCAGCCTCAGCCTCAGCTTCAGCCTCAGCCTGCCTCGGCTTGCCTCAGCCTCAGCCTCAGCCTGCCTCGGCCTCAGCCTCAGCCTGGCTCAGCGTTAGCGTCAGCCTCTCAGCCTCAGCCTGCCTCAGCCTCAGCCTCAGCCTCAGCCTCAGCCTCGGCCTGCCTCAGCCTCAGCCTGCCTCGGCCTCAGCCTGACTCAGCCTCAGCCTGAGCCTGCCTCAGCCTCAGCCCGCCTCAGCCTCGGCCTCAGCCTGTCTCGGCGTGCCTCAGCCTCAGCCTGCCTCGGCCTCAGCCTGCCTCGGCCTCAACCTGCCTCAGCTCGGGCATTCGAAATATGGCACAGGACTTGTGTTCTGGGAACACGAAGAACAAGAAGTGGCCCACAGTTGGCTCCGGACATTCAAAATATGGCACAGGAAAAATGTTCTGGGAACACGAAGAACACGAAGTGGCTTACAGTTGGCTCCGGACAATGAAAATATTGCCTGGGAATGGTGTTCTGGGAACACGAAGAACACGAAGTGGCCTACGGTTGGCTCCGGGCATTCAAAATGTGGCCTGGGAGTGGTGTTCTGGGAACACGAAGAACACGAAGTGCCCTGCAGTTGGCCCCGGGCGTTCAAAATGTGGCATGGGAATGGTGTTCTGGGAACACGAAAAACACGCAGTGGCCTACAGGTGGCTCCGGGCATTCAAAATGTGGCCTGGGAATGGTGTTCTGGGAATGGATCCCTAAGGATTCTTAAGAATTCTTAAGGATCCCTAGAAAGGTTCCTGGGGCTGCCGGATCCTGCCGGCTTTGTCCGGCCCCCGCCCAGAACCCCCCGGGGCGTCAAGATGCTCTGTTTTGACGCCACTAGAAACCTATCAGCAAAAGCTGTTAAGTAAAAACGGCCGTCGTCTTGTGGTTCGCGCAACGCGTCGCAGCCAGCGGGTCGTCGTCGCGCCGCGCTGCCCGGGCGATCAGCAAGTTGAACAGATGAAGAACCCAGAGATCCATGGGCATGGCGAGGCGAAGCGTTGCGGACCTCCCGGCCCGCCTCGCGAAAGGCCCACCCGCGCAGCTCCGCCTGCCGACGCGGAGGGTTTCTCTGGAAGTAAAACTGCTGAACGGTGGACACAGGGAGGGATTCGAAGGCATTTGATTCAAAGATGCGGCGCGGGTTGCGGTGGAACTTCGTCGGCTTAGCGTCGCACTGCGAGGGACTTGCAGACCTGCGCAGCATGGCCACTTACGCGTCCGTCAGCCAGGGCATCGGGATGGGCCCGCGACGCGCGGCTCAGCGGCGAGCTGGCTGAGGGACTATCCTTAGGTGTGCAAAGTCAGAGCCATAATTTAATCATGTTTGTGTACGCGTGTGGTTATTGTGTTATTTGTTTGTGTGTGTGCGTGTTTTGTTTCAATGTTCCGTCCAGTATGTGTTTGTGTTTCCGTTGTGCTGTTGTATGTTTTGCTGTGTTGTGTTGTGTGTTGTGTTGTTGTTTGTGTGTTTTGTGTGTGTGTGTGTGTGTGCGTGTGCGTGTGCGTGCGCGCGTGCGCGCGTGCGTGCGTGCATGTGTGTGCGTGCGCGCGTGCGTGCGCGCGTGTGTTTTCGTTGTTTTGTTCCCGCGGGGGGGGGGGGGGGGGTCTGCCGCGGTCGATCGCCCAGGGGGTGCCCCTGAAAAGGGGGAAATTTGGCGGGGGCTCTTCCCGCGGGCGCCCCCGCTCGCCTGGGAGGGCGCGGACCGCCCGGGGGGGGCCCCGGGACGGGCCGACTCGCCCGGGGGGGCGTCGGTCCGAGCGGTGGAATCCTGGGGGGGTCTCTGCCGCTCAGTTCCCGGAGGTCTGGCGGGGAACAGCCCGCGCGAATCGCCCGGGGGGGTTCGCGGAGGCGAGGTAGCCCGGGGGGCGCCTCAGAGGACAGCGCACGCCGCGAAGGATTCGCGCGAATCTGTCGCGGGGCTCTCGCGAATTTTTCGCGGGTGGCCCCGGCCCTCGCGATTTGCGTCGCGGGGGGCGCGGCGGCCTGGACAGTCGCGCAGGGGGGGGGGGCGAAGAAGCGAGGATGGGGGGGTCCGGCGCCAAGGCCTCGAGGGCCACCTCCGGGGCCGAGCGAATGGCGGGCGCCGGGGGCAGGGGGCGGCCAAGGATAGAAAAGGGGGGCGAGCGATAAGACCGGGAGGGGGCGCGACCGACGCGCCGAGGAGCAGGGGCGGAGAGAAAGGGAGTTCTCCGATTGATCACGCCCAGAGAAGGGCGGGGTGGATGATTACTTCAAGGCCCTTACGTTGCACGCGTAACTATCCAGGTGGGCTGGCCCAGACACGGCCGATGGCGGAGATGGGATGGGCGCGTCGTTGCGGGTGGGCTCGCCCAGCGAGACTTCCGCGAGGGGCCCCAGGATCTCCGCGCACTTGGCAGCCCGATCTCTCCGCCCTCGGCCAGCGACGGCCCCGCGGCGAAGGGGGCGAAGAAAAGGGGGGGGGGGGGGGCGACGGCGAGCGCGAAGTTGAAGCCACCGCGAGTCACGAGCAAGATCTGCGAAGCATTCGCGCGAGCGACAGCCGCGCCGCAACGAGCGGACGCGCGGGCCCACTTCAGAAGCGGGCAGGCCGCGGCCGGGAATTGCGCAGCGGATAAAACGATGGCCGCGACAATCAGACCACTACTCGCAACGCGCGTTCAAGAATGAACATCGAGGAAGAGATATTGGACAGCCCGCCAATAAACTAATTACCACGCCGCCTTTGCTCAGCGCACCAGGACAAAAAGAAGAAACGCAGTTTCGTGTTGGACGGCGCCTTCCACGGGCCCCAGGAAAGCTGAGTGTCGTCGCGGCGAAGGTCGCGGGCGCCCGCGATGGCACTAGCGAGTTCTAGCCGTCTGGGGCACTGAAGCTTCGCATCAGCATGGGCGCCATGATATTGAAGAGGGGGTCTAGCATTCCGCGTAGCAAATGAAATTGCCGCGCGACCAGCGCGGGGCCATGACTCATCTAGGCAGTCGCGTCAAAGGCTCCACTCTGCAACCTCGGGGGGCGCTGCGATGGCCATTGCAGCTGGGAGCAGGGCCTGTTTGGAAAGCTTGACCTTTGAGATCGTCGGCCCACTGCCGATCAAAAGCAAAGCCCCCCGCGTTTGGGCTGACGCGGGCCGCGGGGCCCCGACCGGCCATCTCGCGGCCGTGGTCCGTTTCGAAGAACCACCTTGCAGAAGAAACCTCATCTTCGAATGCATCTCGTTCGCGCTTGCTTTGGGTTCTTGCCGGGGCGAGCGCGCGTTGTGGTTGGCGGGCCATCCGCAGCTTCAACGTCGAAACGCCCCCATTGCCCAAGGGCCAAGAGCTGGGCGGCGAGAACTTTGAACAATGCGTCGAGCTGCTGGGCGACTAGGTCCAGTGATCGGGATGGTATTGTTTTTGCGCGCGTCGTCGGGCGCAGTGATCTCGAATGACGTGGCGGGAGCGCCCACCTCGACAACCCAATCGCGCATGAGCTGCTTGACCTGGTCCGGAGCAGTGAATTCGCCAGCCTTGCCTCCAACGATGGAAGGGTCGGTCTCGCGCTCGAAGCCGGCAAAGGAGACGACAGGGGTGGCTGGCATGGTGCTGGCGACGGCGAGCGCGTCGTCGAGCTTCTCGAGCTGGGAGCGGAAGGCGGCAATGGATGAATCGTGGCCATCCTGGCGAGAATCCTTGGCCTTGATGCGGATGGTGAAGCCGTCCAGCTGCTCACGATGGCGTCGGGTGAGGCCGTGGAGCTACTTGGCGGCCACATTGTCAGCCATTCTCGAGGAATCCCCTGCATCATCAGCAAGTTTAATGGCCGAATCACCATGCCCAGCCAGCTGTTCCGCGAAGGGGCTGACAGCTTCGCCGACCCTTGGGAATGGATGCGAGCATCTGGGTCCTGTAGGTGGTGAGCGTGGGTCTTGTAGGTGGTGAGCCTGTAGTGGGGAACATTCTGGGCGCTTGACCTTTTCGTTGTACGCGGCATCAGTATCTTCCTTGCCCATTTTGATGCCAGAGGTCAGATCAACGTGAGCAGGGAACTGTTCATCGTCAGCAAGCATGTCGTCGCGTGGAGGTCCTTCACCCTCGGCAGCAGAATTACCATCAAAACGAAGCTCAAGTGTAGCAGCACTAGCAGCCAGAACTGTCTTTCGTTTGGTCAGTCCAGTACGTTTGGAGGGCCTGCGCGCGCCATCGGGCATCGGCGGGCGCCGGCGGCGGGGGAACGGGCACGGCCGCTATGAGCTAGCCGCGGACCAGCGGTCTCCACGTCGCCGCTGGGCGACATGGTACCTTCAGCCAAACCTGGCTGTGGAGGAGGAGCAGGAGGAAGAGGGGGAGGAGAAGGAGGAGGAGGAGAAAAAGGAAGAAGAAAAGGAGGAGAAGGAGGAGGGGGAGGAGGAGAAGGAGGAACAGCAGGAAGACGGGGAGGAGGAAAAAGACCGACCCTCTCTCCCGCACCCGTCAGTCCCCTAAATAACGTCCAGTCTGCGCGCCAGCGTTGCTCACACTGGCTGCGCATCTGCCCCCTGGAAGGCCCGGCACCTCAAAGGACGCCGCGACGCTCTTATACCCCCCCCAGGAACCCAACGCCTCAGGGACGCCGCGGTGGGATCCCCTTTCCTCATCTGATTGTTTTGTTGTTTGCCTTCACCGCCCCTCTCTCTCACAGCCTCCCTTCGGTCCGCGCCGAGAGAAAGGGAGAGCAAGAGAGAGAGAGAGAAGGAAATGGAGAGAACGAGCAAGAGGAAGAGGGAGAGTGAGAGAGAGAGAGAGAGAAAGAGAACAAACAATGACACAGAGGAGGGCGGGAGAGGCGAGAGAACTCCCCCGCCAGGCTGTGCCTGGGGTTCGGGGCGGGCGCGCGGGCGCCTACGGAGAGGCTGGCGGCGCTGGCCGCTCCCGCGGCCTCGGAGGCCCCCCACCGCCGCCCAGCTCCCGAGCTGGCGGCAGGAGGAGGGAGGGCGGGAGGCAGAAAGAGTGTTGAGAAGAGAGAGAAAGAGAGAGAGAGAGAGAAAGAAAAAAGAGAGAGAGAGAGAGAGAGAAAAAAGAGAGAGAGAGAGAGAGAAAGAGAGAGAGAAAAGAGAGAGAGAGAGGGAGAGAGAGAGAGAGAGAGACACAAAAAAATCAGCACACAAAAGACAGAGAGAGAGGGTGAGAGAGAGAGAGAAAGAGAGACAACAACAAGAGAGAGAGAGAGAGGGACAGAGAGAACGAGAGAGAGACAGAGAGGGCAAGAGAGAGAGAGGAATATAACAACGAGAGAGGACGGGAAAGACAAGAGAGAAAGGGAGACAGAGAGAGAGAGAGAGAGAAACAACAAAAACTGAGAGAGAGAGAGAGAGAGATAACAAAGAGAGAGAGAGAGAAAGAGACATGTGGAGGGAGGGGGCAGGATGGGAAGGAGGAGAAGGCATTTGGAGACGGGGCAGGGAGAAGAGGAAGAACAAGACGGGGGAGAAGAGGGAGGAAGGGAGGGGGGGTGGGAGGGAGGCAGGGAGAAAGAGAGAGCTGGGGAGAGGGAGGGAAGGAGGGAGCGAGGGGAGGGGAGGGACGGAAGGAAGGAGGACGGGCGAGGGGAGGCGAGGGAGGAGCAGGAGGGAGGAGGAGGGAGGGGGAGCGGGAGGAGGGAGGGAGGGGGGGAGGAGGGGGGGGGGAGGAGGGAGGATGAAGGATGTTGAAGAGGGAGGGGGCGGCCCTGGGGGGTCCTGCGGGGGGTCCCTCCAGGTTTCGGGGGTTGGGGCTCCCTGGGTCCCCTCGATGGGAGCAGCGGCGCCGAGCCTCCAAGTAGAGGCCTTGTTGAAAGCAGATCCTCCCCCTCCCCCCCTCCTCCTCCTCCTCCTCCTCCTCCTCCTCCTCCTCCTCCTCCTCCTCCTCCTCCTCCTCCTCCTCCTCCTCCTCCTCCTCCTCCTCCTCCAGCGCCAGGGAGGGACCCACGTCCACCGATCTGGAAGCGTGCCCCCGAGAGCCTTGGATGGCACTCAATATAGAACCTTCGCAAGGCCCCAGGGGGCACGTGGTGGCTTCTGGAAACCAGGACCCCCAAACACAGCACCACCTCTTGGCGCCTTGGCGGTGCGCAGTTTACTTCCGCTGGCTTGTGCCAGAAAAGCCGCCCCAACTTTGCGTGCGCCCGCCCCCTCCTGGCGCCTTGCCGCCGCCTTCCGCCGAGGAAGAGACGCCAACTCCTTCGACCCTCGCGGGCGAGGACCTTTCGAGAATGCCTCACGCCTTCGCACGGGTGCAGTGGGCAAACCCGCGGCATGGATGGTCGCTGCATCTGAGGGTACAGATCATCCGCGACCAGAAATGCACTGTAACGGATTTCAGGCGCGCCAAACTTCGGCCGCGACCAGGAAGGGTCGAACCTCGGTAGCCAAGAGACGGCGCATCGGGGTCCGAGCGAGGGTTGCGAGGCCGTCGACGGCTCGCTCGTTACCAGAATTTCGGTCGCAGAGCGTTACCGAAAACCTTCGGTGATTGGATGCCCTGGGGCTGGGCAGACCCCGGGCCGACCCGGCGATCCTGACCGCCCAGCCCGCCGTTGCGCACCCCATCGAACAGGCGCAGGTCGGCCCAGGGTGCCGACCCCGGGGCCCAGCCACATCGACGGACGCCGAGGGCAGCCGTGCACCACCACCAGGCCAGGGCCCAGGACGGACCTGGCCAGGCATGGCGGTGGTGTGCAGCTGCCCTCTGCGGATCGGGTGGAGCGAGCTTCGATCGACAGGCCCTCGGATCAGGGGATTCTGGCGTCGTGCGAAGTAATCGCGACAGGCGTCGCCGCCCCCTCTCAAGCCGAGGGGCCCTCGTACATCGATCCCGCTTGAGAGACGCCGCGGATGTGTAATGGTGTCGAGATCCCTGGCCGCGATCTTCGCACCGGTGCGACGGCGACCCGGGGGGGGCTGCACATTCATTTATATATAATTTATTATATATAATCATATATAAGTATATGTACATATATATATATACATATATATATATATATGTAGACGAAAAGGGGCAGCCACCCAATCCAAGCCGATGGTGCGACGGCGAATGCTTTTAAAAGTTGACCAAGGCCGCGCTAACGGCGATGTTGGTTAATGGCGATGTTGGGAATATGATGTTTGTGACACCGAGCTCGCGCAGAACAGACTGTAGAAAATCATGAACCACACCTTCCTACATTTCAAATGTGCGAATGCATCGAGCGAAAACGACGCAGCGAATTGCAAGAAAGCGCGAACCTCGATGTCCGACAATTGGTTTGGCCACGAACCAGTCCCACCTACAATGCCGAAACCTACATCGCCACTACCTACATTGCCGCTAGCGCGTCTACGGATTGACCAGAACAGGGGCTCTTTACACGGGAATCACCCAATGGCTTTTCTCGTCCCGACCCAAGAGAAAATCCCCAGGCAGACCCCCCCCCTTCCTCACGACGACCTGCCCACGAGGCCAAGTCCCCCAGGGGAGATCTTAGAGTTATGTTGCTCCCATCGCACTTCAGGACCACATCCCACAAATGCGCCGACCATGTCGGCGTGTGTGAGGGGCTTCTCCGTTCGACTCGTCGTCTCCGTCGTCCCCGTTCTCCCCCTCCCAGGGCTCTCCTCCTCAAGCGCGCTATCCCATGCGAAATTAAACGACGTCGTAGTGGAGTCGAAGGTCGAAGGGAAGCCCCTTCCCTTTGATCCCTTCCCCGCAGGGGGGGGGGGGGAGGGGGGGGGGGCCCGGTGCAGATACGACGCCCGCCGGGGCGCACTTTCCTCGAGCGGGCACGCACGGGATGCACTTCCTCCTCCTCCTGGTCCTCCTCCTCCTCCTTTTCCTCCTCCTGCTCCTCCTCCTCCTGCTCCTTTCCTCCTCCTTCTCCTCCTCCTCCTCTTCCTCCTCCTCCCGCAGAGGCCTCCCGCAGAGACATCCCGGGAGCGGGCCCCGAGTCAAAATACCACCCCCCTAGGGCGCATTTTCCTCGAGCGGGCACGCCCGAGATGCACTTCTTCCTCTTCCGGGAGCACGGCCCAAGTCAGAATATCACACTCCCGGGGCGCACTTTCTTCGAACGGGCACACAAAGGATGCACTTCCTCCTCCTCCTCCTCCTCCTCCTCTTCCTCCTCCTCCTCCTTCTCCTCCTCCTCCTCCTTCTCCTCCTCCTCCTCCTCCTGCTCCTCCTCCTTCTCCTCCTCCTCCTCCTCCTCCTCCTCATCCTCCGCTTCCTCCCCCCACTCCTAGCCCTTTCGATCAGGGTCGGCGGCACCGGCCGTCAGGCCTCTCCAATAGTTTCGAGCACCTTGAAAAGTATCGAAGCAGTGTGGAACGAGTATCGCTTCCCAGGGCCCGACACGTGAATACCCTCCAGGTTCGGTGATTTCTTGGTGCTCGAAATTCTTTCTGGTGGTCAAGGCTAAAGTAGGTTGGGACATTCAAATCTTAGAGGCCTCCCAGATGGGGTTGGAGCAAATGAGGTCGAAGGATCGCGCCGCATCGCCGATGCATCACGGATGCATCGGCGATGCGTCGGCGATGCACCAGCGTGGAGAAAGTCGGGCTCCACATCGAGCCGCACCGCCGATGCATCGGCGATGCGGCGCGATCCTCTGACCCATACGGCTACATCCCAGACCTCTCCCGGGGTGCGTGCTGACAAGCAATACGAGGCAAATCCTGCGGTGGCGACCAGGGCCTCCCAGGAAGCCCAAAAAGGCGAAAACGAGGCCAGGGTAGCGGTAAGGGTACCTTCTCCTCTTCTGAACCTTGAGGGGCCTACTGACCCGGGTCAATGCAGACCTGGGCCAGTCAGGTTTTGCAGGATCCTACAGGATCCTGCACCCAAGGCCAGGTCAGAGCAACCCGTGGCCCCGCAAAATCCTGCAAGATCCGGCGCTCTGACTGACCCCCGTTTGCATTGACCCCAACCCCTTGCAGTCAAACCGTATCATAAGGATGCGTGGTAAGGATGCAAGGGCCTTGGAGGACCAAGTTGACGATTGTCGAACGAGGTTAGCCAGTGAAAGTCGCTGAGGATAGGCCAAGGAGGCAAGGATGCAAGGGCACCCTTGGCAAGATTGCCCATCCTTACTGTGCGGTTTGACTGTGAGCCGCGAAGCCTGGGAGGCGCAGCGATGCGGGGCGCCCTGTCCCGACAGGAGACCCCAGAATCGAATCGATCAGTCGGATCGGCGATCGACACGAATCGGATCGGAGGAAATCGGCCGCCGAGTCGGGAAAAGTCGAGTCGGCGGAAATCGGCACGCCGGTGGGCCACCATTGAAACATCGGAGCCCCCATCGGAAGCCCGAGTCGCACCGAATCGGAACCGGAGGCCATCGGAGTCGAACCGAGTCGAGCCGGAGGGATCGAACCGAGCCCGGCCCGAGCCCGCGGCAGGAGGCGCGCCCTCCAGGGCCGCCTCGAGCGCCGCGGGGTCGCACGCCACGGGCGCGGCGGCGGTGCCTGTCAAGCGGCCCGCGCGGGGCTCCCGGCCCGGCCGAGGGGGCCCATGGCTCGAGCAGGAGAGCGACTCCTCAGCCTCCTCCCCCTCCTCCTCCTCCTCCTCCTCCTCCTCCTCCTCCTCCTCCTCCTCCTCCTCCTCCTCCTCCTCCTCCTCCTCCTCCTCTCCTCCCCCTCCCCCTCCTCTCCTCCTCCTCCTCCTCCTCCTCCTCCTCTCCTCCTCCTCCTCCTCCTCCCTCCTCCTCCTCCTCCTCCTCCTCCTCCTCCTCCTCCTCCCCCTCCTCCTTCGCCATGGCCTCGCGCGCCAACTTAAGACCCGATTAACGTCGGATCCACGCCAGCCTTACGTCGGCTTCACGTCGGATCTGCGTCGGGTTTACGTCGGGCTCAAGTCGGATCTGCGTCGGGTTTACGTCGGACTGTCTCCGGAACATCGCCGCGCAGGCGCAAACCCATAGCTCACGGAATTGACGTGTGGACTAGATCATACTACTATTACGCGCCGCGCGAGGCCTCCAGGATATTTCTCAAAACTACAGAACTGAATTGACCCCAAAATTAAATATTCGTCGAGTACACGACAAATGCGCAAATTGTTTGTAGATCTGCAAACATTCCACGTACTTTTTCTCGTATATTCCACGAACATGTAAAGTCTGGGATAAATTAATTCTTTAGTCATCCCCCCCCTCAATGGACTGTGACCCATTGGGTTGGTTCCCGCGTGTACGCAGCGCTCCTCCCTTCTGCAGACGCCTCCGACTGATAGGCCCTACGGGCCCTCGCACCCACAAAGGCCCCGCTGTTAGCGTCTATGAGCACTGCCGTTGGGGAACGCCCCGAAAAGGGAAGCCTTGGCAATCCAGAGTGCGAGCAATACAGGCAGACATATGATCAAGAACATTCGCATTTGAGAAATCAGGGCCAGCTTCCCAAGCTTCCTGAGACAAGCCTGGGCCCATTTCTGTTGTTAACGCTGGAGGGCCGAAAGTGCTCAAGAAACAGGGCCAGCTTTGCGGCAAGTTAGCTAATGGCCCAGCTTTTTTGGGGGGAGGTCTCTTAATCAGACGCTCGACTGTATCTATATCCGTACCCAGTGCGTCTCGGACTTTCTTGGAAGGGGCGCCGCACGGCCGAGGCGCATGGGAAGTGGACAAAAACATCGAGCCTCTATGGGTCCAGATTTCTATCCACATCCAGCGCGCCTCGGGTTTCTGGGAAGGGCCGTCCGAAACTCCAAGCTGCAGTGGATTTGGACACAAGTCCTGCCCGCACAGAATCCCACCAGCCCTCTGGGCGTGAGTGGTCTGGCGAGCTTCCCCTTCCAGCTTTTCCCTTCCCCTTCGGGAAGGGGTGCACCCTCCCCCCTGCCCAACGCCTCATTCCACGTCAATGCTCCTCCACGTCTCTGGCCAGGGCAGCTCGCCCGGGCACCTCTTCTGGATGGGCTGGTGGGGTTGCGCGAAGCGTCTGGACTCAGGACGACGGCAGGGAGGAGATAACGTTAGGTCGGGCATGTCCCCCTACAGGGGGATTTTGGGCAAAAGATAAGAAAGAGTCAAAAACCACTGTTCGACTATTTTTGAGCACTCCTGCCGTAGAGGGACAGGCCCGACTTTTACAGATGACGTCGAGGTGAGGCGTGCCTCGGGGAGCTCCGAACGCCTGCGGATCTGGAGGATGCATCGGGCGCCGCGGCCGCTCCGGAGCGCCCTCTGGCATGCTCGAGGAGAGCGTTCTGGGAGTCCTCCCCCCCTTGGAGCGATGCATCCGCTTCACGGCCCTGCCTCAGGGAAGCAAGCCGCGGGGGGGCTCCCCTGCGGGCACCGTGCGTAGACGAGCGCGTTCCACTACTCGCAGAGTCACTACTCGCAAATGGCCTGGATCCCCCGCGGGAGATCCACGATGAATTGCATAAAGACAGACATGTGTTTTTTCGGACGTTCCCGCCGCGGCCCCGCTCGGCGGCGCCAGACCGTGGGAAGGCTGCCGGGCGGCGGTCCTGTCTCAGCTGCTCTGTCTTCTGCGCTGTGTCCCTCGTCGCTCCCGCCCCGTCTCCACGGCACCGTCTGCTGGAGGTCGGGGGGCACCGAGTAACGCCCGATATTTTTTGGGGGGGCGCGCGTGAGGATCGTCTTGTTCTGCCTTGGAAGAAGCGCGAGATCGAGGAGGCAAGAGCCCGCGAACGACACAGCAAGGACGACAGAAGATGCCCGTTGGGGGGGGGGGCCCTCAGCCAACTGGCTGCAAGGACGACAGAAGATGCCCGTGGGGGGGGGGGGGGGCCCTCAGCAAGCTGGCTGCCCTGGGATGCTCTCGAATTCCCAGCCAGGAGCGCCAATTCGCACGGCCAGCGGGGCCGGCAGGGCCCACCAGGCGGCCCCAGGGAGGGCATCCAGAGTCCAAACCTGTCGGATGCGTCCCCAGCATGTCTCTCACACGATCCTGAAAAAAGGGGAACGAATAATGACGGAAACATAACAACTCGGACGTCCGCGCGGATTTCTCGGATCGGCGCTGGGGCCCCCTGGCGGCGCCTCCGGCGCGGCCCCTGGCGCGCTCCGCGCGCCAGGGAGGGGGGTCCAGCGCGGTTCCAAGAAATCCGCGCGGACCTCCGAGTTTTAATGCTCATGCTTTTGTTCGTTATCCTAAACAGATCTCTCACATGATCCTGGACGACCCCAATACGCCCCGGAGATGGAAGACTGCCTCAAAGACGGCCCCAGAGAGGGCATCAAGAGTCGAAACCTGCCGAATGCGTCCCCAACACGTCTCTCACGTTAGCCTGGAAGACCCTAAGACGACCCCGAGATGGCAGAAAGCATTGAAAGAAACCTGCATTATATTTATATGTGTTGTTTGCCCACGTGTTGCTGCCAGGATGCCCCACTATCGCTTCAAGACTGTCGCCAGAGCCCCTGAGAGTGCCGAAGGTGGCCCCCAGGAGGCCCTCAGAGGCCGAAAGATGCAGCTCAGACCACCCTCCGCGAGCCAGGAAAGGGGGGTCCAGCGCCGATCCAAGAAATCCGCGCGGAGCGCCAACAGTTTATGGTTAATGGCGTTGTTTCTTCGTCTTCTTCTTCTTATTCGACCATAGGCCCCAGGATGCCCTCAAGAGGCAGCAGAAGCAGGCTCCGAAGCTGGCCACAAGGCAGCCGCAAGATGGCTCAGCCTGGGGGCCAGCAGCAGAGAGCGCAGCTCATCGGACTACGATCGGGGGCGGTCAAGAGGGGGGCGTCCAAGAGAGGGCGGAAAAGAGGCAGGGAGGGAAGGGAGAGGAGGAGGGGGAGGAGGAGGAGGAGGAGGGGAGGAGGAGGAGGAGGAGGAGGAGGAGGAGGAGGAGGAGGAGGAGGAGGAGGAGGAGGAGGAGGAGGAGGGGGAGGAGGAGGAGGAGGAGAGGAGGAGGAGGAGGAGGAGGAGGAGGAGGAGGAGGAGGAGGAGGAGGAGGAGGAGGAGGAGGAGGAGGAGGAGGAGGAGGAGGAGGAGGAGGAGGAGGAGATGGTGGAGGAGGTGGAGGAGGAGGTGGAGGAGGAGGAGGAGGAGGAGGAGGATGAGGAGGAGCTGGAGCAGGAGCAGGAGCAGGAGCAGGAGAAGCAGGGGGGCGTCCAAGAGGGGGGGCGCGGACCAGGGGGGGAGGGGGCCGGGGGCGTAATGAAATCAGAAGAGGCGCCATGAAATCTGGGGAGATATCATGGCCCCCGCCATGACATCCCCCCCCTAGTCATCCCTCCCCTCTTCTTGGCCGCCCCCGATACGCAGGCTGAACCAAGCTGGCGCAGGCCGGACCAGAGCAGCAGGGCAGGTTCGTGCGGCGCCGGCGTGGGCAAAGGTTGTTGACACCGCGTCGATCGTTCAGCCTTGAGTCAAGATCGCAACCCTGATCGTTCAAGGGTGAATTCCGTCGGGTCCAATGGCGTTACCGTGTCCCTCGGTGCTTCCGCGTCGCAGAATCCGGTCTTGAACACCTTCTCCGGCGTCGCTTGCGCGCCATCGCCACATGAACCCAGTTACCGTACCACTCGGAAGGAAGAGCCTCGACCTCCGTCCTCGCCCCCCACCCACCCGAGGAGGAAGCCTCCAGAGCTCCTCGGAGCTCCTCGGAGGTCCCCAGAGGCGCAAAAAGATCCCCGAAGGAGCCCCAAACATGCAGAAAGCTTGATCATCCTTCTCGTCATCCTTCTGGCTCCTTCCAATCGCAAAAATCGGTCCCGCGAGCTGCCCAGTGGTGCGATCGAGCCAGCATGTCGAAGCGGATCCAGCCGTGGCGACGAAGACGCCGCAGGAGGCGGAACAAAAACAGCAGAAGCGTCCCAAAGCCTGAGTCCTCGATGCCACTCGGTCCAGCCCCTCCTCCTCTCCTTCCCCCCTCTCTAAAACTACACCACCCGAAGATGATGAAAAAGTGGCCTGCACCCCTCCGCGTGCTATATTCCTTACACACCGGATTTCAAACATTGTCATTCTTATAAGTTATTCAATCCGATTGTTTTCAGTGTTCGAAACTCGTGCTCCCGCTGCAACGTGGGTCTCATTTGCGGATTGGCGCTCTGCTCCCGTCGCTCAGAATGGCGCCCTCACCCCCGCGCGGGCCGCACTTCTGGATCCGAGTCTACCTTCATTGCGTTCCGCCCCTCCTTCCCCTCCGCCTTCCCCTGGCCCTCCTGCTCCGCCCGCTCCTTCCGCTCCTTCCGCTCCAGCTCATGCTGGTGCTGTTCGTCTCGCCCCAGCGAGGGCCACTTTCCTGACTCCGAATACTCCTTCATCGTTGTCGCCCCCCTCATTTCCCCTCCTCCACCTTCCCCTCGTCCTTTTCTTCCCTACCCTTACACTTTGGTTCCTGCTGCTGTTCGTTCTTATACTTTTCATCCCGCTCATCCTCCTGCTCACCCGCCACTACCTCATCATCCTGTGCACGAAGCTCTACTTTTCCGATTGCGCATGCCACGAAGCGGCGGTCTTTCTGTGGGAATCGCAGGTCGGCTATGACACGCGCCCGTGGATCATGAAAATTCGGCGCCATGGGAAGTGATGGGAGGGAGGGAAAGGGTGCCAGATGAGGCGCGAGCGCACCCAGCATGCCAACCCCTCTCCTCTCTCTCTCTCTCTCTTTCTCTCTCTCTCTCTCTCTCTCCCACCCTCGCGTCCTGATGGACGGCGAATGGCGTCCCGCAGCTCGTCCCCGGGAGTCCGTTTTGGTGTGATCCTCGATAACGGGCGTGAACGGGGAGGGGAGGGGGGGGGGCGATCACATCACGGCGGGCTTCGGCCTCCCAAGCCTTTTTCGAGCCCCTGGGCCCTCGGAGGAGGAAGATAAGCGTGACATGATCGGGGGGGAGGGAGGGGGGGGGGGCGGGGGCGATCACGAGCGTTATCGCCCAGACTAAAACAAGGCTCCAGAGCCCCCTACACCCACTCAGAAGTCCCTGACCCCACACCGAAGCCACCCGAACAACTCTCCACCCCTCTGCCTCCTCCGTTCCCCCCCTCCGCGTCCCCTCCTCCTCCCTCCTGCCCTCCCCCAGCCTCCATCCTCCACGTCCTCCCTCTCTCCCTCCTCCTCCTCCTCCTCCTCCTCCTCCTCCTCCTCCTCCTCCTCCTCCTCCTCGCTGACGTCGTCCTCCTCGCGACGACGACGACGACGACGACGACGACGACGACGACGACGACGACGACGACGACGACGACGAAAGTGTCGACGAAGACGCCGACGTCGACGGCGATGGCAGTCGCAACGAGGGCGACCGCGGCGACGGCGAGGCCGCGCCTGGGAGCACGGCCAGCGGCGCCCCGCCGCAGCTGGCGGCGGCGCCCAGCGCGCGGCACGCGGCCCTCTGCGCCTCCAGAGGGGCGTGGGGCGGCCCGTCCCCGCCTCTGGCGCCGCCGACGTCCTCGTCGTCGTCCTGTGCCGCTCCTCCTCTCGCTTCTCCTCCGCCCTTCCCTCCTGCCCCCTGCCTCCTGCCACCTCCCACTCTTCTCTTCTCTCTCCTCTCCATCCTCCGCCTCCTCGTCACTCCAACGAAGCTCGGTGCGAGCCCATCACCAGACGAGGGACCACGAGGGAAGGCGGGATGGAAGAGCAAAGGATCGGGCGACACGTGTGCACGCCCTGCCGGAATCTTGAAGGCCTCGGGAGCTCTCTGCGACTCTGTGGCTCTGTGGACTCCTCCATCTACTCCTCCTCCATCTCCTTCTCCTCCTCCTCCTCCTCCTCCTCCACCTCCACCACCTCCTCCTCCTCCTCCCCCTCTTCCTCCTCCTCCCCCTCCTCCCTCATCCTCCCCGGCCGAGCACGAGGAAGCAAGGGGCCGGTGCTGCCACCAAGCGCTCTGCAGGCCCGCGAGGGCGGACTCCTCGCCTTCTCCAGAGCACTTTCTTAGGGTGGAGGGCTCAGGGCGAAATCCACATGGGCCCTTTCACTTCGAAGATCAATCCGCCTTGTGATTCACAGCTGGCAGATTCAAACCTCGAAGATCAATCGAAACGGGATCTCAGACCTCACCCTCTGCCCTCCACACCAAGAACATGCGCGGTTCTCCCTCTCGCCGGTGCCCTTCGCCGGGCCGCCTCGCCCCTGCGCACGCCGCCTCACTTCCAGAGCCGCAGCGAAGGCCCGACCTGACCCCAATCTTAAGTCGGGCGTGTCCCCCTACCCGAGGAAGGTTCCGGAAGAGTCAATAGATAGACTGGGGGCGATTTTGGGAGTATGTTTGTTGTCAATGTTTTGAGTCTGTGATGATTGTTTTCTGTTTTTCATCCAAACTCCCCCCGTAGGAGGACATGCCCGACCTGACCCCAGTCCCAGGCCCGCATGGACGCGCGGGGAGCCGAGGCAGCTGTAGCAATGCAGCAATCGGGGATCTACGTCGGATTCGTGTCGTGCCGACTTCGGCGTCGGTTTCTGACACCGCGGGGATCGTTCAACCTTGAACGATCGGCGGTTTCCGACACGTCCAAATCGTTCCACATCGAACAATTCTGGGTCGACCGGCGGCGGCACGAACCTACCGTACTGACCTGGGTCAATTCAAAACCTGGTCAGTCAGGCCTTGCAGGATCCTGCAAGATTCAGCAGGATCCTGCACACAAGCCCGGTCAGTGCACTCCTGGCCCTGCAGGATCCTGCAAGATCCGGCGCTCCGACGGACCCCCATTGGCACTGACCCCCGTCTCTTGAGCCCCGACGCAAGCAGAGCTGGCCTAGGAGCTGCCGGAGGAAGTGCGAAAACGTAGCCCAATCGAGTTGCCCATTCTGGACTTCCATGTAAAGACGACCCTGCCCGCTGGATAAGGCTGCAGCGGCCACTCCAGGCACTCTCGAGTAGCCTCGGCGACGTAGTGGCCGCATCACTTCTGTGCTTGACGCAGCGATCCATCAATCCCTGCCGAATTGCCAGCACAGGTGGTGATCTGGTCCGTGGACTCTATGAAGCGCTTTCCCAGATTGTCCGCCAAAGACACCCATTACACTTTCGGGTACTTCTCCACAAAACTCTAGCAGTGTGCCCGTCGAGAAAACCAAGCTCTGCGAATACCGATGCACCCGTGCAGACGCTCATAACGAGACCCACCCGGCGTGATGCCTCGCTAAGTAGGCCTTGGTCTCGTTCGTGCCAGTGCCAGTTCCGAACACCAACAGGTCAAACTCAGTCGCGTAGGGGCTGGCCAGGTCGAAGGTTCGCGTGATGCTGACTCCGCTGGAAGAGGAAATGGGTTCGGGCGTGCCACTGGATCCCGTGAAGACCGCAGCGAACTGCACTTCCACCCCGATGGTCCCAGCGATGCACTGAATGCTCTCTGTGGGCTTTTCGTGAAACGCATGGCTGCCAAGGTCTACGTGGGCATAATACTGATCTGCACCTCCTTGAAGGTCTCGAACGGCCCCAAAACATCAAGAAGGTTGAAGTTTGGCGCCCGCATCAGTCCTACTTTCTTCAACACCCACTCCTGCCTGTCAATGCTGTGTGTTGCAGTGGCTGTGTGTGGGGCTTGAACCAAGTCAACCAGGGCGACCGACTTGCGTTGCCCATGCGCGTGTGAGGATACTGCCAAGAAGGCGTACGCTTTGAACAGGACGGCACGCGCTACTAATATGAGCATCCCTGCGGCTGCCTGGGATGGACGAGTACCAGCAAGGAGTGAGCAGGACCTGTCGCAACCAGGATGAACAAGAGAAAATTCCAGCCAGAAAGGCTTGAGCGGATCATGGGTCTTGGGCAAAATCTTCTACGGACGAGGGGGGAGGAGCAGCTTGCTGAAGAGTGGCGGATAGAGGCGGAATTCTGAGCATCCGATGCGGCGTGGGAAAGCTAGGTGGGAAAGCTAGGTGGACCCAGGCCCTTCTTCCCGGTAGAGTACAAGGAGGAACGGGGAGCAGGACACGTGAAGTGTTACGGGGTATCCTGAAGGTTACGGGGGCCCCGTGTAAAGAATTTTCCTGCTCCTCCTCCTCCTCCTTCTCCTCCTCCTTCCCCTCCCCCTCCTCCTCCTCCTCCTCCTCCTCCTCCTCCTCCTCCTCATCCTCCTACCCTCCTCGTCCTGCTCCTGCTCTCCTTGTCCTCATTGCTCTCCTCCTCCCCTCCTTCTGTCAATCCAAAACCGCGCAACCCTGCAACGACTGTGCCACTGGCTTGCACCAAGGAGACCCGAGCCACGCGAAGACCGACCTGGAATTGGCGAGCCCGCGCGCGACACCTTGGCTTGGGCAGCGAAGCGCTACTGAGGTTCGGGGGAAGACGTCGAGGAGGAGGGGGACAGGGAGGGGGAGAATGGGCAGCGTGGGTGCCGGAATCGGCTGTCCCGCGCACCACGTGCCTCAAACCTTGGCAGCGGACAAAAGTGAGAGACTACAAGAAGCGAGGGGAAGGGAGGCAAAAAGAAAGGGGAAATTTGGGGCGGCGTTTGTTCGACGCGCGATCGGCTGGACTGAGCACTCCCGGCCTGAACGGAATCCCGTGAAACACCACGTAAACTTGCGCATCCAAGATAGCCAAGAGAGGAGGATGACGGGATGAAAAGGACGTCGTCGCAGGCCGCAATGTCGCCGGGGAGTCGTTGGACCATCACGAATTTGTAGCAGATGGGTTGGGGTTGGGCGACCTTTTTGTCGACACGCTGTGGCATTGTAGTTGTTCTCGCTAAGGGGGTGAACGGACCAGGCGACGGTCACCAGGTCGCTGACTCCAATGTGGTCCCCGGTCGGTCAGTCACTCAGTCTTGTCATACGCCAGAGCGCATGGGTGAAGGAAGAGACTGCCCGCCACATCTCTCCGCTTTGCGGGAGCGGCGGCACCTTCGCGATCTCTTGATTTACATCGTGCGCGGCTGGGGGGGGGGCGGAGGGGAAGGAGGAGGGACATAAGCAGCAGGAGGAGCAGGAGGACAACGAAGGGAATTTACAAAATAGCTACGAATGTGCGCCACACAACTGGATCACTGGCACACGCCATCACTGTTCATGTGTATCGAACTGCTGCTGAACACAACCGGCAAGCCTGTTAGCCCATTCTTGCCTCGGCCTCCCTACCGCTCGGGCGCACGTATCTGTAGCCGGCATCAGGCTACCCGACTGAAAGGTCAGGCGGCGGAGCGGGTCGGTAGTGGCAGCCCTGCCAACTTCGCCGAACAACAGAAGCTGACACTTTGAAAGCTGAGTTACGAGCTGTCATGTTGCTTGTTACGAGTGCTGGAGAAATCTGAATTTCCTGGTCTGTGCTGATCGCCGTGTGCTTTCAGGCGAGTGCATATTTCAAGAACTCACCCTAAGCAGCTCCCAACCATCTTCTCATTTCTCCAGATAATCTTCGTAATTTGACAGTGTGGCTCCAAGATATACCATCGAACCTTCTGGCGGGAGTTGATCACAACGAGGCGTGCAGAGGTTGATGTCGCAACATACGGGCATGAGGTGAAACTTGTTCCAGCGTAGCTCCATACACACCTGTGCGCCTGCGCGATTCATTGATGCCGGCTGAGATTGCAATTGAACTTGATTGCGGCCCGCCAGCAAAGTGTCATCGACATACCAAAGATAGCCAGATAGTCTTGTGTCACAACTTGTCGCCTCTAGCCTCTACGTGGCGCGCGGCGTCCCGGATAACCATCGCCATCACCACGACGAACAAAGATGGGGACAATGGGCACCCCTGCGAAATGTCAAAATATGTGTGACTTTCTGTAGAATGCTGCCGTCCGTCGGCAAACCGAAAGTACTCTGTGCCAGTGATGCTCAGGATGCGGCCGGGGACCCCGAAGATTCGCAGTGCCTCCGCCAGCTGCAAACGCCAGTCGCCGCCAGGCGGCGCGGCGCTGTCTTGGCCAGCACTTGGAGTCAATGCTGCTAGTATGTATCTCGTGGCCGCTGGGGGCCATAGCGCGAACCCTGCGGGTGCCGCGCCTACGCGTCGTCGCGAGAGGTGGTGCGGACGCGCCCCGATATCTCGGGAGCAAACGCCTCCTCCTCCTCCGCCACCCCCTCTTCCTCCTGTTCTTCCTCCTGTTCTTCCTCCTCCTCCTCCTCCTCCTCCTCCTCCTCCTACTCCGCCTCCTCCTCCACCACATCCTCCGCCTCCTCCCCGTCCTGCTTCTCCTCCGCCGCCTCGACATGATCCTCCTCCTCCTCCTCCTCCTCCTCCAACTCCTCCTCCCGCGCTTCTCCTCCTCCTACTCCTCCTCTTCCTCCTCATCTTCCTCTCAAGCACATGTGGCTCCGTCCATTCCGTAGGCCCCCTTTTGGCTTATCGCTTGGACATGAGTCGCACCTCGATGCCTCAACGTGGCGCTTGAGTGGCAACGCGTCTCCTGGGCCGCGTGCGCAGTCGATCGCGTTGGCTAAATCGAGGTAAACAGTTTCAGCAAAAGGATTCATCGATTATGGCTTGTACTTTGCTAGTGTTGCTCTTGCCTCCTGTTGTTGGTAAGCATCCTGAGCGCATCGGCTCCTGTCATCCTCATCTACAGTACTGGACTCGGCGCATACGGTGTGCAGAGTTGGGGTGCCCTGGCGATGATGTACAGAATGTGGGAGCCGAAGGTTGTGCCGACCGTCATCCGCTACAACGTTCTCTCAAGCACGTGCGAGAAGGGCAATCAGAGGCAGCGGATTCTCGCTGCAGAGCCAGATGGGTAGCGAGGCCGACTGCATCAGCTACACTGCTCGGATCAGCGCGTGCGAGAATAACGTCTGGTGGCAGCAGGCGGGCAGGTGGGAGCAAGTCGCGGCCCGTCGGCGCATTATCAATTTCAGTGTTGTCATGGGCCAGCGGTAGCAAAGGACAGTGGCTGCAGCATTTCAATTCGTATTCCAATCTTTTAGCTGTCACTGCATGGCGATTCCCTGGTTCGTGGGATGGGGACGTGCCGGCCGTCCGTATTCTGAGCCGTGCCTTTGGTGGTGGCGTTGGTATTCAGCCTTTCACTGTCTGCTTGGATGGGGACGTGCCGGCCGTCCGTACTCTGAGCCGTGCATCAATGGATGGCTGTTTCAATGGATTGGATTATACGTGCTATGCTACAACACTGCGGTCAAGTGTGCTTGGCCAATTGGTTCACAGTTTTCCCCGCTCATCGTGCAGAGTGTCTCGGTGGGCAAGCAGGTCTGGGGCTCCAGATGTTGGTGGCTCTTCTTCTGATCGACTGGGGCGAGGCGGTCTGTGGGCGAGGCGAGCTCCTGCCTTCTGGGGAGTTAGCCCAGTGATCGACAGTGTTGCTTCGGCGGCACGGCTAGGGCCTCATAGAGTCAAACTCACTTCAGCTTAGCCATTGGTCATATCAGTGCGGAGTCATTTCAACGGTTCTGTCTCAGGTCTTTTTCAATTGGCGCCTTCTTGGTGGTTGGGAGAAGGAATGAACTCATTTGTGTTGTCACGCGTCGTGAATTGATTTTCTGCGCAGTTGGCTGCTCTCAATGGGGAGGGATTCATCCGAGGTATCATCCGTGCTCCTCGGACTTCTTCGTCTTACGTAGTTGGTGCTGGTTCCTGTTCTACGCCCTCTGGTTCGTCTGCTTCAATTTCGAGCTCAGAGGGGAGTAGCCCGATTCAACCCGAGCAATGGCTCAGGTGGTGGTCGGGTGCCGTTCACTTCGCTTCGCGATCGGTCCTATCCTATCCTATCCTCCTCATCTTCCTCCCTCTCCTCCTCCTCCTCCTCCTCCTCCTCCTCCTCCTCCTCCTCCGCCTCCTCCTCCTCCTCCTCCATCCATTTCCCTTATGCATTGCTTCTCCCTGTCACACCCCGAGAGGTGTCGGTGCAGAAGGCCGGGCGTTTCGCCGAGGACTTCCTCGCCCCGTCTGGTCCTGTAGCTTGAAGTTCACAACATCTTCAAAGATGGAAGGTGGGTGGTTTTCAGGATGTGGCTCTCGCCGTAGCGCTGCGAATGCTCATTCTGGAAATTGGCACCAAGTTCTCGGATGGAGGGCGGGTCCTTTTCAAAATGTAGCTCTCGCGATACGCCGCGGACGTACGTCATTGAAGTTTGCAACGCTGTCAAGGATGGAGAGCGGCTCCTCGTCGAAATGTGATTCCCGCCGCGCACTCTCGTTTCAAGTTTGCACCCGTCTCAAAGGTTCGTGTGGCTGAAGTCCCAGGAATGGCGTTCTGGCGCGATTTAGGGAGGCCAGGACGCAACAATCACATTGATTCGCGGCGCTGACGTCCCAGAAATGGCGTTATGGCATGCATGCAGATTCTCGGGCTGTTGTCTTCCAATGGGCCACTTTCCGTCATAAAGATTAGTGTTTCTGGGCGCATCTGAAGAGGGAACTTGGAGGGAGGGAACTTGGAGAGAGGGAGGGAGGGTCTGCACTGATCCTCCTAATCCTCCTTGAACCTCAATTCTTCGTTCCTCTAACCCTTGAACCTCAATTCTTCAAACTCGGTGTCGCCCCCCGTTCTTCGTGCCGACGCTCGGGCCGCCTCCCTCACCCCCCTCCGCGCGCCTCTCGGAGGCTGTCCCCCCCCCCAAGCGGCCTCGACGGCGGGGGAGAGGAACCCGTTTGCGAGCTGCAGCGCGCGGAAGCTGGCAGATGCTGGGTCCTCCAGGCCGGGCGGCCGCCCTCCTCCTCGAGTGAGGTCGACAAGGTCGTCGAGGTCGTCGCCCCGACTCCTCCTCCTCTTCCTCCTCCTCCTCCTCCGTCCTGCGCCCTCCATCTCCTCCTCGTCCTCATCGTCGTCGTCCTCCTTCTCCTCCTGCCCCTCGTCCTCCTTCTCCTACTCTTCTTCCTTTCCTCCTCCTCCTCCTCCTCCTCCTCCTCCACCTCCACCTCCTCCTCCTCCTCATCCTCCTCCTCCTCCTCCTCCTCCTCGTCCCTGTCCTGCTCCTTCTCCGCTTTAACATGCTCCGCCTCCACCTCCACCTCCTCCTCCTCTTCCTCCTCCTCCTCCTCCTCCTCCCTGTCCTGCTCCTCCTCCGCCTCAACATGCTCCGCCTCCTCCTCCTCCGCCTCCTCTTACTCCTCCTCCTCCTCCTCCTCCTCCTCCTCCTCCCGCGTCCTTCCAAACAACTCCTCCCGGTTGTACCCCCAGAGGTATCGGTGCGGCAGGCCGGTCGTCTCGCCCGGGACTTCCTCGCCCCTTCTGGCCCTCAAGCTTGAAATTCACAACAGCTTCGCAGATGAAAGGTGGGCAGTTCTCACAATATGGCTCTCGCCGTAGCGCCGCGGACATTCGTCACCAAAGTTTGCAGCGCTGTGAAGGATGGAGGGCGGCTCCTTGTCAAAATGTGGCTCTCGCCTTCGGGCCGCGTACATTCGTTTCAAGCCTGGCTGAAATCCCAGGAATGGTGTTCTGGCGCGGTTCAGGAGGGTCAGGACGCAACAGGCACGTTGATCCGCGGCGCAGAAGTCCCAGGAATGGCGTTCTGGCATGAAAGAAGATTCTCAGACGGTTGTCTTTCAATGGGGCACTTGCCACAATGCTAATACATGATTGCAGGGGCCTCTGAGGAGGGAACTTGGAGAGAAGGTTGATTGTAACATCGTTGATACGTCTTCCATCCCCCACTCATCTTCTGCCTCTCCCTCTTCCTCCTCCTCCTCCTCGTTTGATGTTGTTTCTTGCTGTCGCTTTCTCTCTCCCTCCCCTGGGTGATAGGACATCTGGAGGCTGCTGGAAGGGGCGTAGGAGGGTCAGGAGAAGGCGAGGATGGAGAAGGAAGGAGGGGGGACGACAAGGGGGAGGGAGAGGGAGAAGAGGGGGAGGGGGAGGAGTTGATAGTCTGATCTCGCATATCATGATCCTGGGACTGGAGCTTACCAGAAGACGCACGGATGGAGTGGCGGCTCCCTTTCGAAAATCGAGCTTGCTTGGGCGCCACATGTTTGGCACTCTCTCTCCCGTCGTGATTCTGGTGCGCTGTGCAACGGAATATGCCAAGCCGATTGTTGACGCACACTTCAAAACCAATTGGGTCCTCACGATGCAGGCCGACAGGGCTGTCGCCGAAGTAGTGTACACAACAACCACTGTGAAGCTGCTAGTGGGCATTCGGCTGGACACGGGGAGGTGCGCTGCAACACCGATGATCTGCGCTGGGTCACCGGGCTGTATCTGGCCATCCTCCCCCGCATCTTCCTGCTCCTCCTCCTCCGTCTCCTCCTCGTAACCCCTCTCTGAAACCCCAACACGACTGCCACGTCGACGACGACCGGACGACGATGACGACAAGACGACGCCGATGGCGACGACGAGGATGAGGACGACGACGACGAGGAAGACGACGACGACCAGACGACGACCAGACGACAATGACGACCAGACGACGATGACGACTTGACGAGAACGCCGACGAGCGGCCCGTCCAGCGGGAGCTCGAAAGCATCCGGGTGGCCGCTGGCATGCCGCCAAAGCGCCTCCAAGGCCGCGGCGGCGCCCAATCCCTGCGCAGGGAGCCGGCTGAGGGGTGGTCCTGGCCGTCCTTGTCGTCTTCATCATCGGAGGGCAAGAAGGAGGAAGCGGGCCCGTGCGCGCGGGCGCGCGCCGTCGCCACCCAGCCGCCACCTCGCCAGAATGAATGTGGGCAAACTCCTCCTCCTCCTCCTCCTCCTCCTCCTCCTCCCCCTCCTTCTCCTCCTCCTCCTTCTCTTCTCCCTACACAAAAGGACCGAAGGATTGACCATCCATCCTTGTACCTGTTGCAAGATTTTGTGACGAACGTGCGCAGGGCCCAAGCCAAAGCGCACCTTTTGAAAAGGGGGCGGCCTGCATTAGGACGAATGCGCGCGTCGCTAAGGCGGCGACCCCAGGTTGAATATAACCCCTTCAATCCTCGTATATGGCACTCGGTTTTGAAGCGAATGCGCGCGGCGATGTGGCAAAGACCCCATTTTGAGAACGACATTCCACCGACCCCAGATTCACCTTCATAGCAGCTTCATATCATGAGGTACCCTTCGGGATAACAACTAGTGAGGAAACCACAAGCGAAACGCCAGGCCCGCCTGACCGACACGTCTGGGACTGCTACAAGGGGAGTTATCTAAGGTAGCCAGCCTGGGCCCCAAACAACATGTTCACAGCAATAGATGTTGCACAATCCGCGTGGTGCAATCTACCATGTGCAATCTATGTTGTGAGAACTATGTTGTACAACCGATGTCATGCAGCACAAGTAGCGCGATCTACTGGTGCAGCGCATGCTGCGCAACACGTGTGGGGGGCTATCTGCGCAGTGTTACTTTTCAAGCGGTGCAGTTCACCCTGCCGCGCTTGAAGTAGTCAGCTCCTTTGCTCGCGCGAGTATCCCAGCCACCCGCCCGTCCGCAGTTTGGTTTGCAAAAACCAACGCGGCGGCGACTGCGATGACTGCTTGGCGCCGGCGGGTGCGCGGCCGCGGCCGCGCTGCGAGCGCGCGCGGCCGCGCGCAGAGCGGTAAGCTGTAGCCTGGCGCGACCGACGCGGCCGCGGTGACGCGCGGGCACCTCGGTGCGAGTCGGTGGCACGGGCGCGGCATCTTCCGGGGGCGCCTAAACATGGACTAGCAAATCCACGGTTCGGGGGAGGTGCCTTCCCCAAAGTGCGGCTGGTGCCGCCTCCTTCGGCGGCGGAGATCCGCGATTTCCCATGGAAGCGGGGCCCGTCGCCCATCCACGCCCCCTTGATTCATGTTTGCGATCGCCTGCATCATTGCGAAGTCGGCAAAGGCAGACGCGACGACGATAGTAGCGGTGCTAGTGACGATGACGGCGATGACGACCGATTGGCCAACTACGGCGCCGATGCTGATCACGCCAGTGACGATGACGGTGTCGACGCGTCGGCGTTGAAGGTTTCGACATACGCGCGCGGCCTGGGTCGCATGTGGTGGGTAACCAATGGTTTCTGGAAGAGCTCGGAAGAGCGTGCGCGCAGATGTTTTTGAAACATCACGTCGCAACGCCATGGGGTTTGAGTGCGACGGGGGAACTCCATATTGCACATAGTTTGCTGAAGGATTCCGGCAGGCGCGCGCAACGACTCGCGCATGTCGACCTTGTCCAGTCCGTTACAGCGGGTCTTGAAAACGGATGGTTCTTGATAATCGACGGCTCGCGCATTTATTCCTGACGGGGACGAACGGGGTTCGACAGGGGCCGACCTGGAATGGTGATAACTCGTATGTGAGAAGAGCGGTGAGGCAGAATCACATGTAAATTGTACCATCCCAAAGGGAAACGTTACACCAAGGGGGGGAGGGACACCCCAGAGGGAGACGTTATACCCGGGGGGTGGGGGGGTGCACGGTTTCCCCCAGGGCCGTAGGCGACCCAAGGAGGAGGAGGCGAAAGAGGAGGAGGAGGAGGAGGAGGAGGTGGAGGAGGGGGAGGGGGAGGAGGAGGAGGGAGGAGGAGGAGGAGGAGGAGTAGGAGGGACCAGAAGGAGGAGAAGAAGGAGGAGGAGGAGGAAGAGTAGGAGGAGGAGGAAGAGGAGGAGGAGGACGGGTCGCCTAAGCCCTTCGGAGAAACACTCCAGGGGGGTGGTAGTAATGAGAACCTATGCGGTGCAACTATTGTCTGTTCGCAGTGAATCGTCAACCCCACTGCTCGCGCAATCATCCCGCCCACCCGGCCGCGTGCTGGTTTGCAGAACGATTGCGCCGGCGATTGCGACGACTGCTTGGCGCTGGCTGTCGCGTCGCCGCGGCCGCGCTAGCGCACGCAGACTCGCGTAGCCGGCTAGTTTGGCGCAGCCGATGCGGTCGCGGTGGCGCTGACCGCTGGGGACTTCACAGCGCGTCTCCAAGGCCGCGCTGACGCGCGGGCGCTCCAGCGCGAGTCGGCGACTCGGGCGGGCGCGGTATCATGGCGACGTCCACGACGGCAGATAGGCTGATGATGGTAGCGTCGATGGTGACTACGTCTGCGAAGACGACGGCGACGCCGATGATGGCGCCGATGCTGATCACGCCGATGTCCACGTGTCGGCATTGGAAGATTCTGAAAGAATTGACCACGCTCGGGCGGCCAACCGGCGCAAGTGGCTCGCAAGGTGTCATTTGACAGGGATCGGCGCCCCCCCCCCCGGGCGCGCGTGCAAGGGCGTTTGAATTGTTTCGACATGCGCGCGCTCCAGGTCCGCTTGGGCGCCTTTGTCGAAATTCTTCAGAATCAGACGATGCGCATAAAAGATTGCAAGAGCGCGCGACGTTTTTGTCATCGAACAAATGACGTTGCAACACCATTGTTCTCATATGTTTCCGAGAAAATCAATGTTCAAATCCTTGCGAAACCAATGGCTTTTGGAATATTCCGGCATGCGCGCGCGACGACGCGCGCGCGTGGACAGTGTCATGTTTGTTACATGTGATGTTCGGCATATTTTCAAAATGAAAGATGGGGCAGAAACGCATGTCTTACGGATGACACGAAGACCTGGGGCGGAGATCCTCATGTGTTTTGATAGAGAAGGTATATGGCACAATCTTTCTGGCGCAATGAAATTTTGCTCACAGTGAATCGCAAAACTATAGCGCTGGCGATTGCGACGACTGCTTGGCGTTGGCTGGCGCGTCGCTGCGGCCGCGCGGGCGGGCTCGCTCGCCGGCCGACGCGACGCTGCCGACACTCCAACTAGTTTGGCGCGGCCGACGTGACGCTGCCGCGGCGGCGTGGACTGCCAGGGACTTCCCAGCGCGCCTCGCAATTCGCGCTGGCGCGCGGGCGCTTCAGTGCGAAGTCGGCGGCGCGGGCGCGGCATCGCGGCCACGTCGCCAACGGCGGATGCGATGATGATTGTAGCGGTAGTGGTGACGACGGCGACAATGACGACAGCGAGGCCAAGCCGGCGCCGATGCTGATCACGCCGATGACAATGACGGCGCCCGCGTGTCGGCGATGAAGGTTTTGGAAGGGTCCGGACATGCGCGCGCGGCCGACGAGCGCGAGTGGCCCCCGTGGCGCTGTTTGTCCGGAGCCGTGCCCCCCGAGCACGCGCGCAAGGACTCTCGACTGATGTCGACATGCGCGCGTGAGAGGCACGCTCGGTCGCATGCGATGAACATGTTGACCACAAAAAAACGTTGCTCGCTCCAGAATGAGCAAGAGCGCGCGCGAGCCTTTTTGACAAATCGCGATGAAAAACCATGTGTTTTGAAATGTTTTCCGGGCAGTGTTGGACACCTGTTCGAAACCCAAGTGGGTCTTCTCACGGATTCCAGCATGCGCGCGCGACGAAGCGCGCGCGGGCGCGTCCCATATGCTGCAGGGGATTCTTGCAAATTGATGTTTAAGATTTGCGTGCGCGCGTGGGATTATTTGACAGAGATGAGGGGCGGGGCCCCGGCCCCGGGGGGCCAGGCCTAGCTAGGACGGTCGGAAGTCGTACTTAGAATGAACGATGTGGCGGTATCGTGTGTAAACTGCACCATCCCAAAGATTGGGCGATAGGTCCAGAGGGCTGCCAAATCCACTGCCCGCGCAAGCATCCCACCGACCCGCCGGCAAGTTGGTCTGCAAAAGCCATGCGGTGCCGGCGGTTGTGATGACTGCTCGGCGCTGGCTGGCGCATCGCTACGGCCGCGATAGCGCGCGCGCAACGGACAGCTATTCGGGCGCGACCGACGCGGCTGCGGCGACGCAGACCGAAAGGGACTTCCCAGAGCGTCTTGCAAAAAGTGTTGACACTCAGGCACTTTAATGCGAGTCGGTGATTCGGGCGGGCGCGGCGTCATGGCGACGCCGCCAAAGGCGCACGCGATAATGATTGTAGCGGTGCTGGTGATGACGATGGCGAAAAAAACGGCAGGGCCAACGACGGCGCCGAAAGTTTTGGAAGGGTTTCGACGTGCGCGCGCGGCCGACGGGCGCAAGTGGCCCGCATGGCGTTATGCGTCACGAATCGCACCACCCCAACACGCGCGCAATGGCGTTCGAATGATGGCGACATGCGCGCGCGAGGGGCCCGCTTGGAGGCATCGGATCAAAATTTGGGAAGACGTGTTGCTTCCTTTAAAACAGCCATTGCGCGAGCGCAGACCTCTCTGGGGTAATCACTATGTGAAACCATGTATTTGAATCCCTTCTCGGGGCACACCATTGAAACATCGCATCGGAACCAACATGTATGGCGGGTTTTGGCATGCGTGTTCGACGACGCGCGCGTGCGCACTGCCTTCCATATGTTGCACGGTTTTTTTGTTGCAAGCTGATTGTGATTTAAAGAAGCGCGCGTGTAATTGTTTGACAAGGGATGAAAGGGGGCGGTTCCTGGCCTAACTGGGATGATATGAGATCAAAATTAAGATGAACGATGGGGCAAGATCGGATACAACATACGCTATCCCAAGTGTGGACCAAAGGCTCCGGAGGGGGGAAAGGTGCTAGATCCTACTTTATTTCTGAGAAAGGGACATCAGCCCTGCGG